GAGAGAGAGAGAGAGAGAGAGAGAGAGAGAGAGAGAGAGAGAGAGAGTACCAAGGTTGCGTTTGATAAATATCAGAAGGACAGTGAAATTGAGATGGAGGTGAAAGTGATTGGATGAACTGGAGTCGCTAATGACAGCTACAAAAACGTCAACACAGTGCCAACTTGCTATTTCACGTACAATCTGTCTCATAGAGAACATCATAGAAAAACTCGCAGACAAGCAGACGATTCAGAGTCTCAGTTCTCTCTGACTCTCTATGGGACTGCAAAATTGACAATGGTGCAAATCACCACAAGTGATGAACAAACCATTAGCAAGACGGAACCACGTAGTGGCACCCAGCCAAGCAAGAACCAGGGTTAAACCACCAGGACCTCGGCCAGCTTAAAAAAAAAGTCGCGGCCGTTAACGCGCCGTGACTTTCGGGGTTCGGGGTAGGCTCGGTACTGGGATGGCAGTCCAAGCTGGTGGGCCCAAGGAATTCGACATATACACAGGGCGGGTTGAGTGTGCGTGTGTTTCTACATGCTGAAACGAGCGGGGGAGAGTGTCAAGTAACTAAGAACAAAAAGAAAAACAAAAAGAAAAACAAAAAGAAAAACAAAAAGAAAAACAAAAAAATAAATGCGGTTGGGCTGTAGAGGAACAGCACACTCACAGAATGTATCTTCCTGTTTTTGTGGCCTGCTACATACGAGTCTGGACGCCAGCATGTAGTATACCCGATTTCGTTTCTTAGTTTTTTGCTGGTAAAAAAAGAAGAAAAGAATAACGTCTGCTGTATCTGATGTGGCCCCCCATGAGAAACGGGGAGGATCCAAGTGCCTGACACAGAACGGGAAAGTGCCAAGAAAGGAAAAGAAAAGAAACAAACAAACAATCAAAGGAGGAACAGCACTCTCACGGAATGTATCTTCCCGTTTTTATGGTCTGCTATGTATGAATCTGGAGGCCAGCATGTAGTATACCCGATTTCATTTCTTCGTTTTTTGCTGTAAAAAAAAAAAAGGAATAAGGTCTGCTGTATCTGATGTGGCTCCCCATGAGAAACGGTGAGCATCCAAGTGCCTGCCACAGAACGGGAAAGTGCCAAAAAAAAAAAAAAAAAAAAAAAAAAAGACACAAACAAACAGAGGAGGAACAGCACTCTCACGGAATGTATCTTACCGTTTTTATGGTCTGCTGCATATGAATCTGAAGGCCAGCTCCTTTTCTTGTTTTTTTCCTCGTAACAAAAAACCAAAAAAACTTGAATGTCTGCTGTATCTGATGTGGCTCCCCGTGAGAAACGGGGAGCATTGAAGTCCTGCCACCAGAGGAACGACAGGAAGTCTCACACTAGCAACGGCCGTTTGTCCTCTTCCTTTTCTTTTTTTTTCCCCCCAAAGGACTGCTGTCTACACGATGTCCTCGAATGTGCTTGTGGCCACACCCCGGGGTGCTGCACGAGTGAAAACGACGGCGGAACCAGTGCCAGTCAACAATACACCCCTAATTCGTCCCACCCCATCCAGGCTCGGCAGCCCTTGGCGCGCAGGCAAAATGTACGTTCGGGCCTCAACAACCGGTAGGTACTGGTGGTTTAAGCAAAATTTGCTGAGGGCTCAGCACTGCTGCGACCACGCACACACACACACACACACTCACACACACTCACACACACTCACACACTCACACACACACACACACACACACACACACACACACACACAGACAGAGAGAGAGAGAGAGAGAGAGAGAGAGAG